CTCCCCCTGCTTGTGTTCCCTCTCTCGCTGTGTCTCTCTCTGTCAAATAAATAAATAAAATCTTTAAAAAAAAAAAAAATTTGTACAGATTTGTAGTTCCACCAAAGTAGATGCAGATTTTTTTAAAACAAAGGAATACTACCAAATCAATTAGAAGATAGCCATGAGACTTAACCCAGAGTATCCCTTTCATTATTAAAAAAAAGCATGGCAAAATAAAAAGTTAATTATTTTTTTGTGTGATTTAAAAGTTAATGATTTTTCTGTGATTAAAAGAACTGTCATGTCCATTCTGTGGTATTTTGGTAATCTAGAGCAGGAGTCTGCAAGTTGATTCTGGAAAAGGACTAGACTATAAATGTTAGGCTTAGTAGGCTTGCAGTTGGTGTCACCTACCCAATAGCATTGTAACAGCAAAAGCAGCATATTGACAATATGTCAATAAATGGGCGTGATTGTATACCAATAAAACAGTTTTTAAAATCAGTGGCAGGCCAAACCCTTTGTTTTCCAAACTTTGATTTATAGGTTAATACCCTAAACATCCAAATTTTTGTAGCTTTTGTTTTTAAAGTATTTACAAATTGCTTTAAAATTCTGTAGTTGTTGGTTTTTTTTTTTTTTTTGGATGAATTTGGTTGTTTCATATAAAATGTCCTTTCACTTTTTGACTTTTTTCTGAAGTAATTGGACACCAGAATGTGTTATTTTTCTGAAATAACTAGACCTTTCTTCTTCTATTCCTCTGCTATCTTAAAAAAAAAAAAAAAAATCCACACCACAAAAAAGGAAACACGCAAAACCTTGAAATTTTGTTCCTAGGTAAAATTGGTTTACTTATTTTGATAGCCATATATTTTATGAGTATCACTTCCACATCTATATATTCTAAAGAAAGTTGATGCTCATTTAAGATTTGAAGTACATTTTATCATTCCCCTGCCAATTAAAATCATATTCAGTCCCCTTATGGTTATATATTAATTGTGTTAGCATATAATCAAATGTTTGATTAATCCAGATTCTCCACATAAGTTTATTATATAAGACGTTTTTGTTTGTTTGCTAAGTTTTATATGATCCTGTGACATCTTAACCTTTGACCTTTTTTTTAAAAGAACCATTGTCCATGGTGTAAGCAATATTTGGAACTGTCTCTGCTTCCTGAATTAAGTGATGGTTTGCCTAAATACTAAAATCCAAGGTTGGTTTCAGTGTCTTTCAGTTACCTGCAAGTACATTGTTTCTCATTCACTTTTTTTTTTTTTAAGTAATTGGGAGTCTTGTCTCAGATTTGTTAGTTAAGATTCTATTAGTATAGAGATAACAATGAGGTCTGAAATTTAGAGTTTATCTTCATAGGAAACCTACATTTTGTCTTGTTAGTTCTTTTATTCAGTGTATACATTGTTCCCCATATGAATGAGGAATATTTGTATTTTGGAGTAGATTTCAATAATGCAAATTTTCCAGTGGGTGGAATTTCTTGTACTGGCTTTGAGCTGCTAAAACTATTTTTGTTCTTAACTGGATGGTGATAATGGGAAAAGTAAGGAAAATAAGCTTACTAACAGGAAATGTTGTCCTTGCTTAGCCTTATATTAGGACTAAAAAATTGGTCCATTTGAGTTTATCTAACAGAGTAGTGATCTAGGTCAGTGCTTCTCAAACTGTCTGGAGTGAAAGACCAATTTGGGTGTCTGTTTGTTTTTAATTTCCAATCTAATGCAGATCAATATTTTTTGCAAAATACAATAAAAGTTGCAGCAATATCATATTGCTATAAAAAGTTTGCATTCTCACTTTTATTTTTGTTTTTTTAATTAATTTTTCTCTTCTTGTTTTTTCATTCTTTATTCTTCCCCCTCCCTTTTTTTTTTTGTAATTTTTTATTCTTTTTCTTTTTGTGTTTATCTCACTGCAGACCAGCAAGAGTCTACAGATTACACTTTGAATAGCACTGCTTAAAGAGAGAGCATTGGCTTGTGGTTCTTTTCAAAACTCCATCATTGACTTTAGACAAGTTAGTTAACATGCTTGGGGCTAAGTTTCCTATTTTGAAAAACGAAGAAGTTGAATCAGGATATTTCTGAAGTCCTCTTATCCCCAACTATTATGCCTTTAATAGAACTTGAGTAGTTGGGTCAGCATTTTTAGGTCTCTATAGAATGACCACATAGATCCATTCAGTTTCAACAACTGCTTATTGAGTGTCTACTGTATGTCATGTGTTGGGTTAGGTGCCACCTCTCAGTGAACAAAGTAGACAGAAATCACTGCTTTCGTGGAATTTACATTTTAGTGGCGGGAGGGAGAGAAACATACCAACAAAATCAATGAGTAAATTATGTGGTATATCAGAAAGTATAAATGCTATAGAAAAAATAAACCAGAGATAGAAGTGTGTGACTGTGTGTGGAGTTGTGTTCAGGATGGGGAAGGGGGGATTTTATGTCAGGTGGTCAGGGGAAGCCTGACCTGAGTCAAGATCTAAGGGAGATATGGGAGTAAAGCAGGTGGATATGAAGGGAAGTGCATTCAAGGCAAAGGGAACAGCAAGGCTGTGAGGCAGGAATGTGCCTGTTGTGTGTGGAAGCCATAAGGCCAGTGTGACTGGGGTGAAATGAGCAATGGAGAAGAGTAAATGAGGCCAGGCAGGTAAGGAGTTTGGATATGAGGATATAGGTTAAATATTGACTTATGAGGCAGTATAAGGAGTTTGGCTTTTACTGTGAACGAAGTGGAAAACCACTGGAGAGTTATGATCAGAGGAATGATATGATCTTGCTTATGTTTTAACAGGATCACTCTGGCTGCTGTGTTGAGAATAGATGAAAGGGAGCCAGGGGCAATGTTCTGTCAAGAGTTGATGATGACTTAGACCAAGGTGGTAGCAGTAGAAGGGATTGAGACATTGTCAATTATATTTTGAAGGTAGGGCAGTAGTGTATCTGACGTGAGATAAGAGAAAGAGAATCAAGGATGACTTCAGTGTTTTTGGTCTGAACACCTGTTAGAAGTGGAATTGCCACTCACCAAGATGGGGTGGAGTGTGGAGAGGAGTGATCAGGAATTTGGTTTGGGGCACATTAAGTTTGAGATGCCTACTAGTTCTCCAAGTGGAGATGTGAGGTAGGCAATTGACAGTGTGAGTTTAGAGCTCAAGGCAAACGTCCAGGCTGGGTATGGGTGTGTGTGTGTGTGTGTGTGAATGGGATGGGTCGCCATATGGATGATATTTATTGCTATGATGAGATCACCAAGGGCACAAATTTAGATAAAGAGAAGTCTAAGGAGAGGGAGAAAGAGAAGAAGAAAACCAGGGGAGGTGGAGCCCTTGAAGCCTAGTGAAAAATACTCTTTCAATTTATGGAGACATTTTTGGTTGTCACAACAGCTGACTGGGGTGGAGAGGAGGGTATGGTACTGGAATCTACTGAGTAGGGGCCAGGGATGCTGCCAAACACCATACAAAGCCCGGGACAGCCTCGCATAACAACGAATCCATGCGACCAAATGTCTGTAGTGCCAAGGTTGAGGAGGGAGAGTGAATGGATAGGGAACTACAGGATATTGGCTGGGCAGCATTGAAAGCTCACCTAAGATTAGTGATCATTGATTTAAAGTGACACCAGTTAGGGCGCCTGGGTGGCTCAGATGGTTAAGCGTCTGCCTTCGGCTCAGGTCATGATCCCGGGGTCCTGGGATCGAGTGCCGCGTCGGGCTCCCTGCTCCGCGGGGAGTCTGCTTCTCCCTCTGCCTCTCTCTCCAGCTTATGCTCTCCCTCTCTCAAATAAATAAATAAAATCTTTAAAAAAATAAATAAGTAAAGTGATTCCAGTTATCAGGGTTCTGTTTTTTCTCCAGCTTCTGCTTGGCTGCACATGTGCAGTCTTATCAGTAGGTAGGGGACTGGATTTAACCAAGACTGTGGATTTGCCAGATGTGTAAGTTGAAGTGAGAGAGAGCCAGGCTTGCTGTGTGTTTATAATGACTGACCGTGGATTTAAACTGCATAAAAGAGGGATGCAAGGACATCAGGAGTTGACAGAGGAACAGTGAAAAGGAGGGTTTTTTTTAAGTAAATACACGGGTATTTCTGACCATCAGCCAAATTTGAAAATGGAATGAAAAAAGATCCTCCTTTAAAAAAAAAACACTCCTATTTTGGCTTTGCAGAGGATTATATTGTTTCAAGGTTCAAAGCTGGGTTTAGCAAGTTGTTGGGAATGCTGGATATATGTATCGATCACATTCTGCGAAATAGTTAACCTATTTGTTTTTCTTTTCCAAGTTGCTGAAGATAGCCTTCAGGCTTCCCAGCCTGTCTTTTCTCATGAGCCTTGTGTTTCTTCCCTGTAGGGCACCTTTCATAGCCAGCAGGCATTGGATTATGGCACCCAGCTGGTTGGAGGAACCACTCCAGGGAAAGGAGGCCAGACGCATCTGGGCTTACCAGTCTTTAATACTGTGAAGGAGGTAATGAATGGTACTGAGTTTGCTAAGCAAAGAAAAGCAGGAGAAGAGCAAGCCTACTTTGGATAGAGATCTTAATTGTGTCCCTTTTGGGAGAGTCACTTGCTATTTTAAAATCCAGTAACGTAAAGAAGTTTGAATCACTACGTAAAAACCTCTGGGTTCACTTTAGTCACACAGACTCAGGAAGCCTTCCCCACGCCTGTGTCCTTTTGTTTATAGGCATAGATCAGCTGTGAAGAGAAGTGCTGTAGCTTGGCTTCCATTTGGCTCCTCCTGTCCTTACTCTTTCTTCTTCCAGGATGTTAGCAGTGCACAGGTCAGCATCCCTAACACTGACTGAGAACGGGCTGTTTGCCAGGCACCGTGCCAGGTGCTTCATAGACATTGCTTCATTCAGGCCTGAGGTGCAGGTGCTATCCTCGTCCCCATTCTAAAGACAAGGGTACTGCAAATGCAGAGAGGTTAAGCGTCCTGCCCAAAGTTCATAGCTGCGAAGTGGCAGACTTAGCATGGCTCAGGGTAAGTAGGATGGTGATCCTGCCTGAAAAAAACTGAGCTGTGAAGTCAGATGGACAAATCACAGAGCCCTAGTCTCTTCCCCAAATTGTTGATCTCTTAATACTTTTTAAAGTATTTTGAATGACACTTTAATTCTATGTTACAAAATTAATATGTGCTTATTGTAAAAACTCAGATGATGTAAATGTATGTAAAGTTAAATTTTGTAGTGCTTTCCACGTCTCAGATTTTACCTTTCTAGAGAGCTCATTTAAGCTCCGTGTGTAGTCCTTCATTCTCTTTCTACACTTGCATGAATATATAGAAAAATAAGAGTATTATAAAAGAAACTGTGGTATAAAATCTTGCCTATATAATAAAAAAGAATCTAGGAAATAAACTTAGTACTTGGGACTGATGTATTGATAAAAGATGTATCCCTCCCCTCTTCTTAAACATAGTTTTAAGGCATGTTTTAAAGTATCACATTTTTTTAAAAGTACAGATTTATAGACTTAATCCCTTTTTTGGAATACTAATGTCAAGTTGAAGTTAATTTGTATTCTTGATCCTAAAATGTAGGAGAAAACAAATATTCAAATATGGAATTTTCATTTTACTTTAAACTTGAAAATAACATGTACTATATGTGTGTATGTATGTTTTAGGGGTACTGTATTTTAAAGAGTAAAAAAAAAGTTAAAATCGTATGTTTTGTAAAACAATCATTTAAAGTCTTTTTGCTTTAAATTCTTGGTGTTTCCCTGCACCCCTTAAGTTCTCCTATGGCTGCCTTCATGACCTCAAAATACAGAGAAGAGCTGCTTTCATAATTCCTCTAGGTAGATATGACTTTTTCATGAGCCTTTTTTGCTTTCTTTTAAAGGAAGTTTTTGTTGCTAAGCAACTCATTTATTATTCATCATGATATAAATAGATACAACATTTGCAGTATTTTGTAAGTTCTCTGACAAATACTATATTTCTCACCTGTTTAGCACTTAGAAAGAGCTTTCTGAATGAGTAGAATGGATACTTTTCATCCTGTATCGCTTGTTAGCACACACCCTGCTGTCATAGTCGGCTTCTGGCAGTATTTGTAGCCTTAAAAGGTAGAAAACTGCAGGATGTATTTTCCAAAAAAATACCTACATGCCTATGATCTGACTCCTTTTGTTTCGAAGCTAGGTTTTTTTGTTTGTTTGTTTGTTTGTTTGTTTTGGTACCCCCTTCTGTGTTACCACCTTGAACAGAGTTTTTTAAAAAATTATTTTTAACCCCTGGCATTGTTTGTTGATGATCTGTCAGCATCCTTTGACTGTTCTTCTGTCAGTGTCAAGATGCCGTTTTTTATTAGGAGATAGAGAAAGCTCCTCGGTCTCTGGGGATGTGGGGAGTCATTCAGGGATGATTCTGAAAGTCACTGTCTTTTTTTATTTCTGCCCCTTCTAGTTGTACCTGTATGCTCTATAGCTTAGTATCTCTATCCATTGTAAAATCCCATGACACAGCCTTCCAAAAGGTTTTGATTTATATCTTGATTAAGTTGTATTTTAACGTTTATAGGGAGGCAGCCTGCTGTCACTGAAAAGAACAGACACACTTGGGAATCAGGGATACTTAGATCTGAATCTTGGCTCTGTCGCTCACTTCCTAGCTATGTGACCTTGTGTAAGTTATTTACTGTCTTTTGGCCACAGCATCTTGATTTGTAGATGGGGATACTAAGCATACATGGTTGTGGTGAGGCCTTAACAGGACCTGTCTTGAGCCCTCTTGCAGGGCCGCTCAGAAAACGGGTACTGTCTCTCTTGGAGAGTCAGAGATCACTGACAATCTCAATCTTCAAGGAGCTTCCATTACATTGGAAGGGATGTGACCACACATAGAGGTGGGTAGGAGACATTGTATTGATATATATGGAGGGTATGTGGAGACCACGGAGAGAACCATGGTCAAACTGATGGTCTTTAAGTGTTTTGCGTTTGTGGGGGGTAATGTAGAGTAGACCCTATTTGGCCCACCTTCTCATTCTATGGCCATTTATGCATTTGTATTTATTTTTAATTAACATGCATTTAGAGTAAAAATTGTGAGCGTAAAAACCACATCATTTTTGACGTCTCTTGATCATATTTATCAAGCATGATATGTTTTGAAGGGGTGTTTGAGAGCTGAGTTCTGAGGCTCAGCGGCTTACTCATCTCTTTTCTCCTGGGGAAGTATAGGGTCTTTGGTACTGAGTAGGTGATACAGTGTCTTGTAGGGCAACAAAACAAAACATGGCCACAGGAAGGAGAGGACACAAATGCAAATCAGGCAGTGCTTTCAGCTTTCCTGACATGCCGTCATGTCACCTGAGGGAACCTTTCAATTCAGAGTGGCAGTCCACGGAGTGGGGGGCAGAGGGGAGGCCTAGCTTGGTTCTGCTCTTTTCTGACAGCGCAGTAAACTTGCTAATGGGAAGAATGAAGACATCCAGTGTCTCCTGGTGGTGCCCTTTCCTGATCCCAAGACATTATTAAAATCATGGTACTGAATGCATTTTACAGTGTTTACAACGTAACCCATAATGAAGGGCTTCATGGTTTCAGGCCAGAGAAGAGACAGGAGCGACAGCTTCTGTCATTTATGTTCCTCCTCCTTTCGCTGCTGCTGCCATCAATGAAGCCGTCGAGGCGGAAGTGCCCTTGGTTGTGTGCATTACTGAAGGTATCCCACAGCAGGACATGGTACGGGTCAAGCACAAACTGCTGCGCCAGGGAAAGACGAGGCTGATCGGGCCTAACTGCCCTGGAATCATCAATGTAAGTGTCACAAACAAAAACAGGCCTGGATTTAGGCTTTCACAAGCCTAAGTAGCTTTGAATCAGTCCAAGTGTGTTTGTGTGTATGACCTACTAGTTACTGGTTGTTGTGTGTTTTTTTCACTTTTCTGAAACTGTGATTTCCTTTCCTTCAGCCTGGAGAATGCAAAATCGGCATTATGCCTGGCCATATTCACAAGAAAGGAAGAATTGGTGAGTATTTTTCTTATAGATTAAAAAAAAAATTCTTTGCTCTAAGCTCAAAATTCACCAAGAGAATTTGTGACTGTGCAAATCTAATTCATTTTAATTAACTGTAGTGGAATTTACCAGGGAATTCTGTAGTGAATCAGTTCTGTATCCTGAATTGGAGGGGATTAAGAATCCATAATAATTCTGCAGAGTCAATGAAGCTATTTTTTGGAGTTTTTAAAGATTCTTTTCCTGCTCAGCATGCTGTGGATTCTTCCATGTGTTTGCATGTATCAATAGTTCATTTCATTTTACTGTTAAGTAATATTCTATTGTGTGATTCTGTCACCATTTGTCCAAACATTTGGGTTGTTTCCAGGTTTGGATCATTATGAGTAAGGCTAAGGTGACATTTGTGTATAGGTCTTTCTGTGGACACATTTTCATTTCTCTTGGGTAAAATACTTAGGAATAGAATCAGTAAGTCATAGGTTTGAAGTATGTGCAACTTTTTCTGCGAAGTGGCTATTCATTTTACATTTCCACCATCAGTGTATGAAAGTTCCAGTCTACATCTTTACAAACAGTATTCTCAGTCTTTAATTTTAGCCATTCTGCTAGAAGTGAAATGGTGTCTCATGGTTTTCATTTGAGTTTCCCTGATAACTAATGATGTAGAGCACTGTCTCATGTGCTTATTGGCTATCTATATATCTTCTTTTGTGAATTAGCGGTTCAGGTTTTTTGCACATTTTTTTATTGGGTTGTCTTTTTATTGTTGATTTCTATAATCCTGTCTTCAAATGAGTTTGCCCTCTAGGATATCACAGACTTTCTCAAAATGTCTTGTGAAAATTCTGCTACTTGTTTAGTTGCTTGAGGAAATAACCAAATTAACATTGTGGGGGTGAAGAGGAACTCATTATCAGCTGGCATAGATGAAAGTCCTGACTGCCTACGTGGCCTTCTCTTTCACCAATCTGGCTGGCATGTTAGGGTACCTCAGTGCAGCCTCCTAAATGTGAAAGTCTAGGAGACCCTTTTGGCCTTTGCCCATGGGAGTGAGGGTGGAGGCACAGTTATTTTCTGTAGTGTTCAGTTGATACAGAGTGGTTCTTGTCTCAAAAGTTTTCTGTTTTGGGGCACCTGGGTGGCTCAGTCAGTCAGTTCAGCGTCTGGGATGCTAGCTTCTTTCACTCCATATCTGGGATGCATGAGGCAAAAGAAAACCCAAGGGGCTCACCAGTGTATCATTCCTCGAGTCTCGAGGTCCCTAGCCACTTTGCCTTCTTCATCTCTTAGTGATTTCTTGTATTTATTTTATATATAATGCCCAGGGCTTTTAGTTGTACTTAACAGGAAGAATAAAGGAAAATACTTCTACTTTTCAGAAGCAGAAGTGTCCTTGTGATGGGTATTTTTAAGTGATAACCTTTTATACTATATATGCTTTAAGAATGACAGGAGTAATCTACCCTAAAAACACAACTTTCATTACCTTCAGTGTATGTAGTTTACAATTATGTAATTTACATATCATTTATATAATCAGATGAAAGCCCCTTAAAAGAAGGATAACATCCTGGTGTTAGTATTCACTTGTTATTATACTGATCCATCACCAGACTAGAATAAATCAAATAGTTGTTTTTCCCAGTAATCTAGGATGTTGAGTGGACACCTTAGACCACAATCGTACCACAAGAATCAAGTAGGAGGAGTGGAAAGGAGACTAGACAATTGTACACAAGATGTACAACTAAGAAATTGCCAACTATACTTTGTTTAAACAAAGCTAAGTGTATGAGTACGTAGGTAGGTAGGTATTACCTACCCAACCTTCTCAGTTATGAAAGGTCCCACAGAGGAAGGACTGTAGTAAGGAGACAGTATGTAGATGGAAAGAAAGCTCGGAGAATTAAGGAAAAACTGATGAATGAGATAGATGGGGGATGGTGGTAGTGATTGTCATTTGTCATGAATTAGGGTCCAGTGATTGAATGGCCTTAAAACTCTTGAAGTTAGGTTTGCTTAAGAGGAAGGTTGTACTCCATTGAAGGGTTTTCAGTTTTGAGCCATTTCAGTATTGAGCTGCTTCTGTGTGGGATCTGTGTTCAATACTGGGAACACAGGAGCGGGGGAAGCAGTCTTGTTTAAGTCCCTGGAGGTTATAGTATAGCAAGGAAGACCCAGAATCTTAAACACCATTGGTGGTCTCTTACTGAACCGGATGGTGAGAGAACAGTATTTGTATTTGAGGAATCAGGAAAGACTTCAAAGGAAAGTGGCATTTGAGGAGGTGAGGGGCTCTGTTTTAGGCAGAACCAATGTGACTAATTGGGAAATAAATTGGTTTCACTAGGGTAGGGAAATAATGGGAAACAAGTCTGGAGAGGTAGGCTGGCACTGTGCTGGGCTGCGGAGTCGGTGCAGGGTTCCGTGTGGAACGAGCAGTCCTCACCGAGTGACAGCCCCCACTGTCTGGTGAAGTTAATCTAAGAGAGCAATCAAACAGTGTTTATAGGGTACTGTCTAGCAGTGCCAGGATACACACACATCTTTCTATTTGACTGATGGGTGCAGAGAATCTGGTTACATACACCCGAATTCATGGTGAGAAGTTAGGTACTTATGCACTGATCATACACTTGTTGATTTGGATGACAAATTGTGGAATGGATTTTTTTATGTATTTGTATCTGTAACATGATAGTCTATGATATGAACACAATCTGTTATTTTTAAATTCTCTTCCTTTAAGGTATTGTGTCCAGATCTGGCACCCTGACTTACGAAGCGGTTCATCAAACGACACAAGTTGGATTGGGGCAGTCTTTGTGCGTTGGTGAGGGATTTTTGATTGAATCATTTTATTATAATGCAGTATCTTCATTGAATGAGTACAGTAATAATTATTGTTTTGGTTATTTACAAGAGGTTTTGATAATCATTTTATTAAAAAAAGATGTTATGATCTTAATTAGTTTGAGTGTGAAGCACCACCATATATTTTGAAGATTCATGGTCCAAGGTTTGACTGGCATGTTGAGGAACAAGCATCGTGGGACACGTGACCCCTGAAGAACCTTGGTGCCTGAAAACATCACTTCCTTCACTTATTGTGAAGAAATGGTTCTTCACATTAGGGGTTTGGTTACTATAATTATCATTATAAGCTATCATTCAGTGCCTCCCAGTAACTGAATTCTTTGCCATTTGTCATCTCATTCTTAAGGCAACCCTCTGACACACCTCTGAGCTGAAAAGTTGTCCTACTATAGCTTTATTCATGAGAAAAAATCTATGTTGAGGACGGTTGAGCTCCCCAGAACTTCTCTTTTTGCCACATTATATTGCCTATCACTTTTAAAAGTAAAAAGGTTTTACATTTTAAAATAATTTTAGTATTTGTTGCTAGATGCAAGGCAGATTTCTCATTTTTCTAAATATTTCTTGAAATTTTTAGAATAACTTTTAAAAGCCTTTCAAAAATAGCTTTTCATAATAAATTATAAAATCAAGCCCTGGACTATTTTTATTAGGATTCAGAACCCTAAAATCAATATTGGAAATAGTAATTGAGCTTCTCTATGTACATTTTTTTTTTTTAAAGATTTTATTTATT